TGCTTTAAGATGGGTGGACTTCACTTCCCAGAATTCCCCACTCAGCCTGCTTTAAGATGGGTGGACTTCACTTCCCAGAATTCCCCACTCAGCCTGCTTTAAGATGGATGGGCCTTTATTCCCAGAATTCCCCAGTCAGCATGCTTTAAGATGGGTGGACTTCCACACCCAGAATTCCCCAGTCAGCCTGCTTTAAGATGAGCGGGCTTTTATTCCCAGAATTCCCCAGGCAGCTGAAGTCCACACATCTTACAAATTGCCAACATTGCTAAACATTATTTTAAAAAACAAATAGGTTCTACATGGGAAGTACAAACAGTGCTCAACTTACGACCAGTTGCTTAGCAACCTTTCATAGTTACGACCACCACCACCCCAAAAACGTACCCCCCCCCCCAGATTTAAAGATCTAACCACAGTGGCAATGTGATCCAACTTCACATGTAATCGTCATTTGCACATCCCACAGTCACCCAACTGCATTTTATCATGGTTTTGCCGAAAATCAATTCTTACTTCTGGGCTACTTTGACAAAACTGCACCTACAGCGAACCACTGGCTCACTTAATGTCAGTGGTGTTTGCTTAATGACTGCTGCAGAAAACGTCACAAGATACGACTGTAATGAGCAAAAGGTCTGTGAAGCTTGTATGTTGAGGCCTACGTGGAGTTCAGTTGCTGTAGTTCTTATAACATTTATTTGTTCCACTTCAAGACGTTGGTACGATTTACGCCTTGGAGACGGGCTATTTTTGGTCGGAGCATCGCCCAAGAGGCTGCTAACTGCCCCTCGAGCCATCGACTCTTCTAGGTATGTCCCAAAGGTGCTTTTTCAGGAGGCCACTGGACTTCCTTGGTTTTCTTCTTTTCTTTTGGAGACGTTTAGCTTCTCATCCAAGAAGCTTCTTCAGCTCTTGACTGGATGGTGGGGAATGGAAGGATTGAAACTCCTTGCAGACAGCTGGTCATTTGCATCCATTACAAACAGTGTGTCGATTGGTTACAAGATTTAGAAATTTCCTGACAGTCAGAACAATGAATCAGTGGAACAGAAGTTGCCTCCAGAAATTGTGAATGCCCCAACACTGGAAGTCTTTAAGAAGATGTTGGATAGCCATTTGTCTGAAACGGTANTAGTCTTCGACTTACGACTGTCCGAAGGTCATAAGCAACCGTTCGAAGGTATGACCTATGTTTAACAACATAATGGGAGGGTAAAACCAACAATTCTCTGTTTACCTCTTTGTGACATTTTTCCACAACTTCATGGCTGACGCTGCCCCAAACCGTCAAATGTTCTCGTTTGTAAGAGCTCACCAGCTCGGAAACCTAAGGCCAATAGAGAAACGAAACAGATTTATTTTAAAAATTCTGCTCTTGATAGTTTTGAGTTGGGTTCCTACGTTACTTTTATTGCGTTAAGAGTTGTTAACCTAATCTTGCGAAGCTTCTTCTCCGGTAACTTTGTACTGCAAACTAGGGCATACAAAACCTTTGCCAGACCAATCCTCGAATACAGCTCGTCTGCCTGGAATCCACACTGTGTATCGGACGTTAATACGACTGAGCGGGTCGAGAGGTACTTCACGAGAAGAGTCCTCTGCTCACAATAGAATCCCTTATGCCGCCAGGCTCAAAATGTTGGGCTTGGACAATCTGGAACTACGCCGCTTACAGTATGATCTAAGTGTAGTACACAAAATTGTCTGCTACAACGTCCTACCTCTCACCGACTGTTTCAGCTTCAACCTCAATAATACACGGGCAAACAATAGATACAAACTCAAGGTAAATCACTCCAAACTCGATTGCAAAAATACGACTTCAGCAACAGAGTGGTCAACGCCTGGAATGCTCTACCCAACTCCGTTGTTACATCCTCAAACAGCTTCAACCTCAAATTGTCCACCGTGGGCCTCACCCCATTCCGAAGAGGTCCGTAAATGGGGCGTGCATAAGCACACCACCGTGCTTACTGTCCCTGTCCTACTTTCCCCATTTATTTGTATTCATTTCTTTTGTTTATATCCATGTTTATATTTATACCTGCTATCTTGTACATGTTTGACAAACTAATCAATACAAATACTTGCTTGTTCTGACCCCACTCGTCCCACACCAACACACTCCGAGCCAAAAATACTTTACGGCATTTAATTAACAGACAGACAGGTCCTTGGCAGCAATCCAGCACAGATAAGCCCTGGCAGCAATCCAGCCTGCCAAGCTCACAATCGTGTTCTCCAACATTAGTTCCTGCGTTGATTTCTGCAAGAGGGGCATGTGCACAAGCAGTTCTTTTAAGCAGTTCTCTAAGATCACCCCCCCACCAACACTGACAGGCGAACCACTAGAATATCAACTGAGAGCAAACAGCATATTCCTTACTAGCACGGATGATGTTACCTAGTTGGGTAATGAAACGTCTGCAAGAAAACAAGGAAGCTCAGAGAGCACCAAGCAATACCTTTCTGTTCTGTATTCCCTATAGACAATAAAACTCTTTTTATGACTCTGCGTTCTGACCCCCCTCTTCCCACACCAACACACTCCGAGTCAAAGATACTTTCCGGAAATTATTAACAGACAGACAGGTCCTTGGCAGCAATCCAGCACAGATAAGCCCTGGCAGCAATCCAGCCTGCCAAGCTCACAATCATGTTCTCCAACATTAGTTCCTGCGTTGACTTCTGCAAGAGGGGCGTGTGCACAAGCATTCCTTTTATAGTCTGGAGAGGAACCTAATGACCACCAGCTGAGTGCAATTACATCCTGTAACTGCGCTACTGTTCCTTACGCCTATTAGCTCTTTGGTGC